TGTGTCGTGTGACTTACTTGTGGGATCTCGACGTAGAGCAGATGTTATATTTTGCATGTACGCGCATTGTGGGGAACAAAAAATGAAAAACTCATTCTGATATATGCGTAAATGTAACATTTATTCGGCATAAATTATGACGATAAATACATACAGATTAGGTATAGATACAAAATGAATTGACTGTAGACTGTAGGACTGTGGTAGTGAAAATACATCGAACGCCTGCGCTTTCTTCGTTCCGTTATTGGCAGCAAAATATTATTTTCATCTATATATAGTTTTATATATGCGATTGCATTTAATTATATTTTACACACATTAATTTTTTATTCGTTGTTTAGATGAACATATTTTAATTGAGCCATGAGAAATCGCGAAGCCGATAAATAAATTTTAATCAAATTAATTTGAAAACAAATATTCAAGCAAAATAATCAAACATTTGTATATATGTAAATTGAAACGAGATATTTTATTTAATTAAAGAGACGCTTTCTCAATCGGAGGAACGAAGAATTCGCGGTCAACTGATTATCTCTGTCGCTTGTTTTACAGATGTAGATACGGAGAGAAACATCTCGAGAAGAAACTTCGCGGATATTCTCCGACGCATGATGTCGCACGATTAAAAGACGATGACAACAGTGGCGGGAATAAAATATGCACATAAGTGCGATTATGTTTATACAGGTCGTAGAAAATGTTTTACAGTCTTGGTTTCTGTGAGCAACAGCACGTTGTTCGCCGTCACTTCGACGTCGACTTTCTATGCAATATAAGTAAGTAAAAAGGAGCTTCACGATCTTTGTTGTAAGAAATATCGCGCTCGATATATCATTAGATATGAAAATATCATGTCTTAACACACAAAACTTTACATAGAGAATATTATTATAATTTAATTTAAGCGATCGATAAAAATACTTTGTGCAACTAAAATTGTCCGCAATTCAAACAACAGAAAATACTTGTATATTACAGATAAATTGTTTGTTGTTCGTCATCAATTTAGCTCTCTTTTTGTACGTATACTCGTCTTTTGTTTGCGTCGCTTTTAGCTATGTTGTAAAGCCCCTTTATTCAGTCGTGTTTGCAGCGCAATCAGTGTGTACAGTCGTTAGCCAAAGAGCCACTGTTGAACGCCCTTTCATCGCGCGTATCTACTATTATATCTCGCGCGGCGTTACCGCGCTCGTTAAGCCTACGGCCTAATCGATTAATTAGACGTACGTTGCTAAACGAATCGTGTGTGCGTTACGCATTGACGGTGGTTTCGCAGAGAGGATCTTAAGAGCTATGTATATCGCGCTAACCGGCTTTGATTTCGAAATTTGATTTTCAATCAAACGCGAAAACAGTGAGCAATCGTCCGACGACACGCGAATGTTGGTTTTGGCGCATCCTGAAAACCACACACAGGTCCCAATTACACGAGGATTAAAGCCGACATAATTTCCGCCGAAATCAATCTTTTTCACGGTCTGTAGATATTGCAAAAATCGTGAGCGCGTCGATTATTGAGGCTTGTTCGTCGCAATAAATATTCATCTTGAAATTTGAATTAACCGCGCGATAGTTTTTTACTATGCGCGATATGTGACTTATGAATAAAGATAGAGCAGACCACACCATACGGCGATTATAGAACCCAATAATATTTACGCTGCAAAACACAATTTAGTTTTCTACTTTTGAAAGCAGAAAATTCGCAACTTATTGTTATATTTTTAGGTACATTTTCTTAATCTTGATTCTACTTGTTTACGCTATTGATTTCAGTGATTGTTTTGATTATCATTACTTACACTATACATGCAAGCAAATTGTGTCGCATTTATATGAAACAACGCGAACACCATGGGTTTCGTTAGTCGCATTTGTTATCGGGAGGTCTCGCTTCACTTTCATTCATGAATCGCGCGCGCAAAATATTACCTCGTATTTTTCAGATTGACGCTGCAGATTATTTTTGCGCGTCTACATACATCCGCGCGCTGTGTGAAATTCTACCGGTTTCAATTCCTGCCGTGTCGGGCAAAGTGTCTATAGATATAGCGATCGATGTCTCGATCAACGAAATCGTACGCTAGTATACACTTTCTGGGATTTAGCACCAGATAAAAAAATAAAGCCGCTCCGCCGTCGTCGCCGCCGCGGAGAGGCGCGTAAATTCCGACCAGCCGACGAAAAAATGAGAGACGCGGAACGCAACGGTATATGTGCAAAATATCGTGTCCTTTATTACTAAATATATATCGCCGTAACCTATATACATATATGTATATATAATATATATATTTAATATTTATATATATTTTCATATATATAATGTCGAATACAATATATATGAACTGATTTTTTTTTTTTTTTTACCGATTAATTAATAAGGATCACAGCCATAGCTTTGAATACGAATGTGTTCGCGCGCTCGTATTTTTTCTTCCTTTCTCTTCTTCTTAAGAGCAATTTAATGTAATCCGTTTAGCGATTGTTACAAGGATACATGTATATACTCTTTTTACTTCTCTCACTACTTTTACTATACTGACTACACATGACTACAACGAAACACGAATGCGACAGTCGTACGTTAATCATTCACAGCGTAAAAGTAAACACAAATTCGATCGCAAATTTAAAAATACACAGTTTTTAAGTTTTCGTGATCGTCTGCCATATTATGTGCACATGATACGTACACACATGTGTTAATAAGTATGTATATTCGGACAGATGAAACATTTATTTGTATTTACACATTTCCATTTTAGTGACGCTAAATGTGGTTGCACCTAATATTTTGTAAGTTAATTATATTAATCTAATGTACAGAGCGTGTTCGACGTGTATAAGCACTGGATAAAAATCAAGAATCTACAAATAACAGTGAAATGTATGAACATACGAATCATTAAACCGAAAGTGAGTAAAATAGAAAATATTATTAAAGAAGATTTATCTCTTAGATGTAGTTAACACACGTTAACTGCCAACTAAGAGTTATCTCGTACTTGACAATGTTCTGTTTGTCGCTTTCTACGAGTTTTACTCGTGATATATGCAATGCAAAGAGGCATCATATTGGGCGTCTGTCATAAGGTTTGTGCGATAATATACTGGCATTAAAAAACAGAAACTGTGCAATGTTTATTACGAAACAATTATTTAGTTCAGTTTTTTTGCAAACAAGAGCTATCAAATATTGGTCACAATCTATAAAATAAAGTGGTTCAAATGATTTGGCAGTTTTTAGCCAGATTCGTCGAAAAAATGCATGGTGTCGACGTATTAAAATACAGAATGTAAACTGTTCATTATTTATCTATATGAAGCACCGAGTTATGGCAGAATTAATTCTTGTTTTTACATTTAACTGCTCACATTTATCGTATCAACAATACAAATAGCCGACAAAATCCCTAGTTGAAATGTCCAACGCGGAAATTTAAGCTCTCTCTGTATTTTCAAAAATCAGATTTGTCAAAACTCGATTTTTATTCTTACAACGTTTTATTTTTCGATCGTCAATTAATTTCAATCTTATCACCTGTTGATATCGGGTCCGACTGTCGCATTCCGAGACGAAAAATCATCGCCAATTCGTCGCGACTGTCGACGCTCCCATACATTTGAAGATCGCAAGATCGCGAGTCGAGGATCTTTGCCGCTTAGAAAAAATAAAATTTGCCGATCGACCTCTGCGTGAGTGGTGAAGATTCGACTGGCGTTCTAACGAGAGTGAGTAAAAGAGAGAAAGAGAGAGAGAGGAGAGGAGAGGAGAGGAGAGAAGAAGGAGCGGAATATATCGAGATTGACTCAGAGAGGAACGACGAAGAGAAACGGAACGTCAACGGCGTCGCTACGACCGGCGATGAGACACGACGACGACGACCATCGATTTTGCTACGACCACTACTTGACATTTTCTACGTTTACATTCCCACTATATCTCGAAGATAGGGCACGCGTCTTGCTTCCTCTTCCGCATTCGAATCGCCGCGATCGATTCAGCGTCTTCGATGGAATAAAACGGAAAGCCTTTTACGCAAAAAAAAAAAACGCTTAATATCTTTTAATATCCTGTTAAAGAAGATTCAAAATGCGATGGATGCTCAAATAACTTTATTAGTATTTTAATCCTTATTATAATTTAGTACAAAATGAAATTTCTCTGAGATAATGTAGTCCTGCTTCTGTAAAAGTATGCGGAACTTGTGATAAACTTCCACGTGATTTGTAGAATTTCAGGACGCAATAGAAATTTTTTGGATGCTTCAGTAACTTTCGCATGAACAATGAAAACTCTTAGCTCTTGAGAAAATTAAATTTCTCAGAAGAAAAATAATCTCTTTTAGCTTTGAAAACGATCTTCTCTCTCTTCATTGGCTTACAAATTAATTGTTTATTTTAAATTAAAAAAAAAAATGTAAAAGTATAAAAACTAAGACGATTGATTTATCGATTTCTGAGTGCGATTCGAATGTGATTGAAGTGGCGCGACGCGGTAAGATAGAAAGACTAGAGACCCGTTGTGCAGCTTGAAGAGACGAAAGGTGACACCTCTTTAGATTCGAAGGAAGCGTGCATCAGTGGGTCTAGACTACGGCTAAGTAGTTAGGAGGGACCGTGATATCGGACGTACGTATTTACTTAAATCATCCTAAAAGACTATAGAAGACACTACTCACTACGAAAAGTGAGGACACGACCACTAACGTTTTAGGCGAGACGATAATATTATTCCGCCGGAATGTGGAAATAAATCGAGAACACCCTCATAGCGACCATAAACTGATTAATACATATGTCATACCGGTACAATACGATAAGTGAGATAACAGTTACATAAAGTACACACCAAAAATCTGTAATTTTAAAAAGCAGAGAAAATTTTGTCCATCACATTTTCTTTCTATTTGTTTTAGAAGTTGAATAAATCTTTTGATTACACATCGAGTAGAAATCTTCTTGATCAAGTTTTTTTTTTTTTTTTTTTTTTTAGTTGGGATTTTGATTGAAACTTGAATTAAAATTTAATTGCTCACAAATGAAGCAAAATAAAGAAAGTGACATTTAATCTTCGTATAATTCACGAAGTTTGATGCCTCACGGTTCCGAATTGGCGCGGGATTTTCGTTATATAATGGACGCGAGTTTGCGACTATCCAGTAAATTTTCCGATATTATCGACAACTGTCTCTCCTGTCGCTCTTCGCTGCCACGCAAGCAGAAATATTCGCCGCGTTTTGCGAGAGCTTTAAAAGCCAACGCGGAATTTTCGACTATAAACGGCGTTCCAGGTGATATTGGGAGATATCGAACATCCGTAATTCGCCGAGGGTCTTAACAAGTTCCGCGCTCGTAGATCGGTTTCCTGCCCGACGACGACTACTGCGAGAGCGTCATAAACCGACGGTCATGAATCTTAAGAGCCAGGAAGCCGAGCGAGACGTCGTCTCGTCTGGCCTCGCTCGTTTGCCCGACGTTGGAAATGCTTTTGTTGAATTTAGGAGCGCCAAGGCGCTGTAAAACGAAAACGAGTCTTTTCGCGTTGAGTGAGATATGAAGAGTTGGAACCATGTTGGAACAAAAAGTGTGTTTTTCAAGAAAAATACCCTTCGCTCGATTGAAAAGAATATATCGCAAAATTTCTACAAACGACTCGAGATGAAAAGAGTCCTTAAAAAAGTCCGTGTAAAAGTTTTACAGAACTTGAGAGTGTTCTCGATACAATCCTTCCGCCGTATACAATCTGTATCTCTATTGAAAACAATCTATAACTATGAGACGGCGGGCGTTCCGTTGCTAAATCTACAGACTACAGATAGGCTAAAAGAAGCATTCGACACGTGCTAATCTAACGATCTACAACATCAACGAGGATCAATTTCATTCTACTTGCAAAGCGTGTAGTGTACGTATGTGCACATGTGATTGAGTTGCATACTATACATACGTATATATATGTATATATATATATATATATATATGTCTACTTATATACATGCAGTGGTACTTTGTTTTATCGATTCTCTACTTGATCTTCGCAATCCAAGTAATGTGAGTAATGATAACGAACGTAATTCCGATACACACATCGGCAAATACGTATACGGTAAGGCCTCGTTAGAGCGAATTTGCAGGAACTCGAAACTAGTAGTAGCTTTCATGGTTAAGATATACATACATATACATATATATACATATATATATATATACATATATATATACTATATACATATAGTATATATATCAAGATTATACATATATATATGTTTGTGGCGGAGAAGGATTCGAGCTAACGAGGGGTTTGCCGTATCATGAGCAATATCAACTTATGGAATTATTCTTTCTCTCAGCAATTAGTGTAGTTCCGTTATTGGAGCAAGTAGGATTGTGTAAAAAAATTGCTGAAAGAAGCAAAAGATTTTTTTTTTTTCACCTTCTTGAATTGCGAAACAATAACGCTATAAAAACCCTGTAACGTGAAATTCCACTCGGATGGGAGAGACTGGAATCCAGTTGGAGATTCATTCGCGCTACTTCAAGAAAAGTGTCGGCAATATCATAACGCAAAGAAAGACCAATAAAGGCTCTACAGTAAAGTTCTTTCTACGTTATCTTTCAGTAGATTTAATGTAAAATCTTGACATGCGAGATTAATGAAGGACTTTGCCATTTGAAGAGATTTCTCTGTGTTGTACTCAAAATAATATATATATCTATCTAATTTCTCTCTTTCTAAGTGTTTATCTATAATATTTGTTTAGGTAATTTTTGTTTAGGTATTTCAATATAGTTGAACGAAAACTTTTTTAACACAATAATGCGCAGTCTAATATAAAAATGCGAACAATCTAATTTCTTTGCGCTCTATTGCACAGATAATAGTTATTTTGACACACTAATAATTCCTTGAGCAAAAGCGAAAGGTACTAGATTTTCATTGAGGACTATAAAAGGGAGGCAGTTACGTACGACAAGATTACTACGTATAGTAAAGGTTTCGATCGCTCGTTCATTGTGTTTATTGATTTTCAATTTTTCAAAGACGACAATGTGAAACGAAGAAACGTCTCGAACGCGATAAAACTTCTTTCGTCTCGTTAGTGTTTTTATTTTGAAAACCATTCAAATTGATTGCACATTCGTCGATAACATCGTCGAACAAAGAAAGTAACGCGTACGTATTAATTGATACTCGTTGAAAATTAAGATGATGTAGAAAGACAATAGTGAGTAATATATTAGGTAGTTTTGTCTTTGTGTCACAAATACAATATTTGCGAAACAAAGATAAAATTATCTATTATATTTTGTATTACCCTTTCTAAATCATTTTAACATATATATACATATATATAATCGCTTTGATTTAATAAATATAAATTATTTAAACATATTTTAAAACATAACTTTCTTCTATAGCACTACAATTCACAATCACCGGGTCCCTTTTCTGATTTTTTAACAATACAAGTTTTACGGGACAGATTGTCAGCCTAGCGCCCAATCTCCAAACTGAGGGCTTGAGTAGAGTGTGAGTATGATGGATCTACAGATCGTAGGTGGATTCCGAGAATCACCGGAAGTGCTTATAGTCACTTCGAGATGGTTGGAGGCCCATTCAGTTTGCATTTCAATCGATAAATCTGACTGAAAGAGATCGAAAAGATCCGAAGGTGTGTGATTCGAACTCGGAACCTTCCTGCTCGCAGTCCTCATACTCACAGGCCGCGAGACCGCTGGATCGCGGTCTGAAACGTAACTTTAATTACTCTTTAACGGAGACCGATAGTTTCTTGCTCACATAACTACAAAGAAAACAATGATAAAATACATTATCGAGAAAAATTGAATATTTCATAACATTTATTTGCGTTAATAGAAACTTGACTTTTTGTCTGTCTTGTCTAATTCGTTATTTTCAATCACGAACGAACGATCGGCGATTTCACTGACTCAGATCTCACGGGAATACATCATGGCTGGTGTGAGCGCGCGACTCTTTCTACTCTTTAGCAAAAATAAGTATCGTTACACGTTTACGTGTTGCAACACCGGCTCACGATGATCCCGTGGTTAGGGGTAAGGTAAAGATAAAGAGAGGTCTCTCACGCTCTTTGTATATCGTGTGTCCGGCGTCAGTGCAGCGTAGCGCTCTCTCTTTCTCTCTCTTTCTCTCTATCGCGAGCTTTCTTCCTTCCTTTCTTCCCTGAGCGCGACGTCCATCGGCGGTAGCTCGAAGAAAGACGGAGGGGGAGGCGCGTAACAAGCTTTGAAATACCTTGTAAGCCGGCTACACGCTACAGCTATATACTGCCTATAAAAGCCTGGACCAACGGCGAAACGATATTTATAACCGACATACACGCGGGTTTTCTTACCGCCATATGAAATTTCCTCACCCCCGGCGAACCGTCAAACTACAAATACAATACATGTATACGCCGGCAAAATAGGTCAGATGACAAAATTGATAATCGAAAATCAAAAATCGGACAAGCATGTTTCGAGAAAAAAAGTAAAACTAGATCTACATAAAAAGTAAAAAAAAAGTAAAAAGCGCGATGCAATTTTACGACTTATGATAGATATTGAGACAAAATTTGTAATAAAAGTAATAATAAAGTTAGTAAGAAGATACTTTTTTTATTTAGATACTTGAACACATTGTGTGTGGTTCAAAGATTGAATTGTAAAAGTTAGACAATATAATATATATATATATGTATCTTTTTATAGGAAGCTCGGTTGACAATATTGCGAAAGATTGAGTCCAAAAGAAGACTAAAAAGACGCTTTAATCTCCCTCAGTGGTTCCGTTGGATTTCATTGAAACGTCTTTTGAACTTTTGTGACTAACCGCTAAATGGGGTTGGAAACATCGTTTCCGCCGGAGCTCGGGGCTTTTCACCGTGCGCGCGCGCGTACTCGCGCTCTGACTCGTAGCAATTGTCAGGTACAGTGCTCGTCAACGATGGCTCTTGGAATTGGCACATAAAACTATACCCTAGGCAGATTGATTCGCCGAGAAAAATTCATTGAGAAAAAAAAAGCCTTAATTGCTAATTTCTTACTAATTTTAGTCTCGACGAGGCGGCGGCAACCATCGATGCGTCGATCGATGAGAAGCAGTGTACCTTGTAAATTGAAGAGTGTGCATGTGAATATGGTATGTGTGTATTTGTGTGTGTATATGTGTGTTCCGTGATCTTGGGTTATCGTCGGCAGAGAGTTGCAAGTGACTTACGTACTAGTACTTTGGTAAAAGTTTCCGCATCCTCTCGATCAACGTCGCAATCTTCAAATATGCTTCTCTTCTTACAGGTATGTGCGTCTCTCGTCGACTTCCATTAAGAACTAATTAATTCGATCTAAATTTTAAGTACTATCTTTGGACGTTTGGCTCTGGCGCTCACGCAGGGCTGCCACTTATTTTTTTAGCTTTGGTATATCGTTTCTTTGCGATGTAATAACAAACCTTCAGCTTTCCTTCCACAAAGTCTGTCGGTGTTTGTTCCCAAGGTCGCGTTCCCGATGTTCGACGTTTGATCTCGAATTCGATTGCGCGCGAAACTGACGTATCTCGAGAAATCGACGCGTCTCACAGACACCGTGTTAATTAGACCGCTAATCAAACCTTAACGCAGACTACAATGTGCAAGACAAAAAATTACGCCAATATCACAATAATAGGAAAAAAGAGAGATTCGCGTTAAAAATTCTTTTTTCTTAAAAAGAAAACTTGTGAATATTTATTCTGCGAAAATTAAAAGTTTCCACATACTCTTTTTTTTTTTCTTACAATTTATTCTATCTTGATCTCTTCACTTCCGCCTTTCATCTCCGATGATCTCTTATTACCACAAGCTAATGTTGATTCTGCGCGAATTAAAGCTTCTTCCTTCACACTTTACCTTGATTATCTCCCATCCTTACGATCTCTCGCAAGAGAAAATGTAGATAACGCTGCAGTTACAATGTTTGCAGTTCTCCTCGCACATCTCTCTTAAGTTTTTCTTCATGTCGTTATCTATTTTTTTCTCTCCTTTTATCATCATCCCTTGTTGTGGTTCTCTTTATTTTTTTATCTTTGTTTCGCGCCTTTTAAAATCTCATAATAATGTCGACACACAAATGACTTAGAATAAAGAAAATAACTTAGTGGTCTAATTTTACACGAGCGCGTTCCCAATTTGTATACTTTCTCGTCGCAACCGATTCAAACGCGATCGATCATCTTCGCGGATCCATCGAGGAGATGGTTCATTGAGCTCGCCAGGAGTTTCCGGAAGCGACCGACCTCAAGAGCAACTTCTTCTCAGCATCCGGATGCACTTTTACGTGTGTGTACCGCGCGGAAAAATGCATTTCTCTCTCTCTCTCTCTCTCTCTCTCTCTCTCTCTCTCTCTCTTTCTCTTTCTCTCTCTTTTTCTCTCCTTCTTCCCCTAGGCGGCCCTTTCTCCCCAACTACGTGTAATGCTCGCAGTCCCCACACTCGGAGAGCGTGGGTGTGGACGGACACTAGGTGGGATTTGGGTCTTCGTATGCCTTTTCGTAGTCTCGCCGCCGTATCACCGCAAAGTGGGTCATCTGGAAGGAGTTGGTCTTCTTGCAGCCGCGCTCCAGCGTGCCCGTCATGCTGTAGCCCATGTTGAAGTCGCTCGACGAGACATTCGACGTCAGGTACAGCTGTAACAGAATGGCAGGCAGATCGATACGATATCACTACGTTTCTCCCTCGCGTTAGTGTTTTTGAAAAGAATTTTCTGCGCTTGATTTTAATTTACAGTTTTGCATCGATATTGGAAATGACATTATTATTAATGAAATGTGTAATGTAAATACGCGCGTAAATACATATATAATAAACGTATATACATGAAATAAATTAATAAAACTTTTAATAACATCTCTCTATAAAACGAATAATAATACAAAGACATAAAATATTTTTCAGCCACATTTTGTTGTTGTTATTATTATTATCATACTTATGGCTTACATTTTCTCTTCCATTAAAGTACGAACACACGTATTTGTTTCATTTTTTGCGCGCAGAAAATTGCGGGTAAAAACAAAGGTATTTATTCACCTAAATCTCTTAGTCAGACTGTTTTTGTAATTAAAAGTTAACCAGCAGTAGGAAAAAAATTGTCGTAAAATGCATCTGCGTTAATTAAAATGTGCGCTAACGCTTAATGCACAATTAAGAATACTCGCGCTCTGACTCCAGGCTGTAATAGGTATAGGTACAATATTTCCAGAAATATAGTAAAGTTTTTAAAGTATAATTCAAGTGAACTATCGACAAAAGAGAACGTGCAGAAACGTTTCTCAAGTTTGTGTTCGCCGATTTGGAAACAGTAGTTGTTCGATGCTTGTTCTTTATCCGAGCTAACTTCTCCATCAAAATTGCACGCGGACAGCTACTATATAGTCGACTGTCATATACGTGTTACCGTCCGACAGAAGCACAACCCGTGCCGGCAACCTACTGGTACACATTCCGAGTACATTTGACGACACGTATAGAGCAGTTGCTATACACGCTGCAGCTTTCGCATTTTAGTGTCGTCGTAAAATCCCGCGGCAACTATATGACTCCCTCGTCGCCGACGCGCAATGGCATCCACTTTAACATTTGGTGGAAATGTACATATACATGTATATATACATGTATATATACATATATATATATATATATATACATATATATACATATATATATACACATGTATATATAGTAGTCCGGATATATTTCTCTCTTCCTCTTTCTTTCTTTTCCGCAAAAAAGTCTGTTCACGACGTGACTCTTCTCCTACCAGCTCGATAAATGTCGCGAAAACGCGTCGCGACGTCCCCGAGGCGCGCTACGAACGTGTGTGTGTGTGTATACGTACGTGAAACGCGTCGGCGCCTTTTATCGGCCGACAGTTATTCCCCTTCGAGACTCTCGAAAATGTGCTTCACAGATTTCTGTATTTAATACTGTCGCAAGAACGGAAATTAAAAAACCCGAGTTAGAAATCAGAGGTTTTCTTTTTATGTATAGAGAGGTTACACGCACACAATCTTTGTGCGTTAAGTGGACGCGATCGATTTTTCAATAAAAAAACAAAAATTAATGATTGTCACACCGTACACAGTCGTATATTTCAGCATGCAGAATCGTATATTTCAACACACACGCGGAATTTATCGATGTAATTATAACGCTGAGCGAGCGTGACGTAATAGTTTCTAGATAAATTCGATAACCATTATTTTGCGGGTGTTTGACGAATATGAAATTTATCATCCGGAAATACCGCAACATCACCGTTCTCATGTTGCTTTCTCGATTTTACGTACACACTCTGACAACCACACCGCAGGATATACGTATTTTTTTTTCAGCGGCAAACGATCTCGTTAATTCGCTTCAGCGCAATGGACGCGTGGATGATGCCGATGCGATTCTTTAATTTAATTCGTTTGTGGAAAAAACACGCGACCTGTTTTCGTAGCTGTGGGAAAACGCGAACGACGAAAGCGCTACGTTACAATGCGCGCCCGGCGATATAAAGTTTCCGCGTTGCTGTATTTATTTAATTATCGTCGCATTTTGCATTTCCGGGAATTAGCGCGATATTTAGAAGCGTCTCTAAAAAATTGCGTGCGTGGCATTCATCGCAATATCTATGCGGAGACGTGTGTGGACATAGATGGTGAATGTGCCGTATCGCGCGAGCAAAAATATCGCAATGACAAAGTTTCTCGTAATCCGACAATCTGCAGATTAGCCTGGACAGAGTGCGAGCTTCCGATAAAATTTCTGGCACATTGTTTTGAAAAAAAAGTTGTACAAGTTTCGCTCCCGAAGAGAATAATACAGAAAATAATAATAACGCAAAATGAAATATTAATTCGAGAGTTTGCGAGACAACAAAATTTGTAGTGTTAATAAGATTTTTATGCAAAAAATAAAATTATATTTTGCAATTTATAAATAATTTTGTGTCAAAGTGACACAAATATAAAAATATGTGAGAGCAACGACAGTATACAAGATAAGAAACGACGCGTAGATAACGACGAGTAGTATCACATTGTTATCGTTGACAAGTTTCATTTTTCGGAAGACAAATGTCAAACGCTCATTATCGCACGTAGTGTTTGTGTGACAGAGCCAAAGTATATGTAATGCGATATCACTGTTGCTATCTATGTATCGTTTCGGATATCCATCAATCGCTTCTTGTACATGGTATGACTTTTCGAAAAGGTTAAAGGTTGCTCCTCTATCGATTACAAGCAACCGGCTTGTTAACAGGTATCCGATTGGAGAATCATGTTCCAAGGAACCTGCTCATCTTGTTGTATACGCGTTTTATTACAAGATACAACTAGAGAAATTTCGTGCGAATTACAACATAAACAATCAGAAGTTTAAATATAAATATAAATATAAAAAAAGAGTAAAAAGTTATAAATGTAAAAAACCGATGTAAAAAACGATTATAAATGTAAACCAAAAATAACTTTATATAGATTTTGTTATATAAACTTAGTTAAGGATTTCAGTACCTTGAAATCAGGATCGGTCGTCATTCTCTTGAATGATCCGATAATATAAAGCGTGCCTGTTCCCGTATCTACCATCTTAGCCTGAGTACTGTATCTGAAACACAACAATAATAACGAGCTGTAGCTGTGCAAATATGATAAAATTTTTATTACAACGTATTGACTCTGAGATAAAAGAATTTTATGTGTACAGAAGCAAAACAAATTTAATCTGGAACACTTGGATATATATATATATGGAGCAAAAAGAAACGTGTCGCGAAAAAAGTGCAATCGATTTTTATACGCCGAGTATAAGCGAAGAGCTATCAATTCGTCGTTCTTAGTTCGGTCGCTTTAGATTCTATTCTTTTTTTTTTTTACAGTCTTAGACGTAACCCTCGAGGACACGAGATCGACCCTCGAGCCTCCTTTGATATTCTTACCCTTCATCCTGAGTTGTACTGAGGGTGGCAAGGCATTGTGTATGCGAACAAAAAGTTGCTCGTAAAGAAGCGGTCCTACCGCTTGCTATCCTCTTGTAAAAGTTTACGAAAGGTGTTTATATTACGTTGCTTTTGCGTGTTGGTTTTCCACTTCTTCCTGTCACGTAACTTTACTGTAGTCACGTTTTTAAAGACACGTGACTAAAGTACAGTCACATTATATATAATATTATATATAATATTCTATAACTATATATAACACACACACACACACACACATGTATATATATACCGTAATCACGTGATCAAATCAGTGACTCCGCCGCGGTCTCACGGCCGAGGTCAGTGACCCGGTCAAGGTCGCGCGGCGGGGGTCAGTGACCCGGCCAAGGTCGCGCGGCGGGGGTCAGTGACCTTACTGTAGTATGTATATAATACAATAATACATATAATACAATATAAAGTATTATATTATAAATATACTATATATATTATTTAATGTTGTATATAATATAAATTACAGTCACGTTACTTTAGTCACGTTTTTCTACTGTTGTTTTTCTACTCTTTCCTGTCACGTGACTTTACTTTAGTCACGTTTTTAGTTTTCTCCATGTATACGACGAACTGTCAAAATCGCTTTTCTGTCATTATTTACTCTCTTGATCTTACCGATTCGATTCGACTCAACTCGACTCGATCAACCAACCAATCGGCAACGCGGAAAAGAGGCGACAATAGATGTGATAGATCCAACTCCGAAACGCGTACTTCGCGGTACATATGGATTTTTTTATATTTAGGAGAATTCTACACACAAAAATAAAATTAAAATATTATATTATACAAAATCATAAAAAAATTGTACAAAAAGTTATCAGTCTGTTATTAATTATAATTGTTATATTCATCGAGGATGGCTTTTGATGTTACCAAATTTTTGAATGTTGAAAACTTTTGAAGTCGTGAATGCGCATTGTTAAGGTAATTGACGATCGTCGTTAGCTATGTGCCGTGTCTGTAGGCTATACAACGATCTTCATCGAAGCGATGAACAAGGGAGAGGTTAGGGAGCGAGAAAATGGGGGAAACGAAGGGAAATTCCGCTCGACTGATGACTGGGGATTATAGGGCGCCCTTTCAGTATTAGGAAGAAAGCGAGAGAGAGAGGGATAAAATATCTGTATTATACATGTTATAATATGTTTTACATTTTTCATCAAATTATGTGCTATAGAGAAGCAATTTTTTTATTTTAACAAATTTATATATTTACAATTTATATATTTTAACAAATATTATGTTTATGACGTTTATGGCGTTGTCAAAATTACGTTTTCTCTTTGATTTCTTGAGTAAAGTCTAAATTTATTACATCAAAAAGATATTTCTTCGTAGTGTAAATTAAATTAAGATACGTTTGAACTAAGAAATAAAAATATGCGTAGCTAAAAGGGATGTTAATAAAGATTTCATTTGCGAGAAAGAAAAAGAGAGAGAGAGAGAGAGAGAGAGAGAGAGAGAAAAAGACAGATAGTGAGTGAGTTTCGTCTGTATAAAGAGAGGAAAAGAGAAGAAGCGGGAGAAAGGAGAAAAGAGAGTTTCTCCCGCGCGGTCGACTCAAGGGGCTTATTCCGGTGGAGATGCCGCTCGAGGATCGGCGACGATCATTAAAAGTTTAAACGGGCCTCCATTGAAGTGAACGGCGGCGAATCCGACACTACACTCCGCTCGAAATCCGCGCCGGTTGCTTTGACTTCCCCTGCTATCCACCCCGCAAAGGGAAAATCGCAAAGGGAAATCCGAACCATCCAAGGAAGGCACGTAGACGTCACTTGCTGGCGTTTATACGACTATGCGGGCACAGTAGATAGTCGACTACGTGTGCTTGCGACACGTAGACACGCCTCGAGCACGTTTCTCGGCCTTCGACCTCTCAGCTTTGCCAATTCGCCACGATATCGATAATCTCACGCCAAGTACCTTTGATGTGTATGTATCATAATATCTGGAGATGTATTGAAAACAAAACAAAAACATTGAAAAAGCATTTGTTAGCACAAGAACACTTTGATCGATGTTTTCTAGTTTGAAGAAAGAGTGAGAATATTCTCTGATCAAGAGACCAATTACACAAGTTTTAATTAGCAGAAATGATTAAGTCGATAATTAACATAGAATTGCAACACAGGATATTTTTAAAAAATACATTATTTGTTTCTAGAGTAACGTGTATTGTCTCATTATCAATGAATTGACGAGTTTATTCCGTTTGTCGAATTGTAGGCAATTGAGGTTTGAATTTGACCGCGCTCGATTACACCGGATAGATAATCGAACTGAATCCGCGATAAAGATAAATGGATGTGATTTCCTCGATCGGCAGCGATCCGCAGTCAAAGCGCCTGATCACGTTCCAATCTATCGTAAAAAGCTTTTGTTGACCGAGCAACGACGTGGGATCTGTATAAAGCTGCGATCTCTGGCCTTGCTTGCGATCGGCCTCGACGTATAACTATCCTTTTCAGCGTGAAGTTGGGAACTTTCGTTGACCAAGCAGCGATCGAAGGTCGGAATAAAGTAACGATCTTCGAGATTCGAACGGACTTCGATATTACTACCCTGGGGTATTTGTGCCCCACGTGAACACTTTTGTTGACCAAGCACTGATCGCAGTTCGGAATAAAGCGATCTTGGATAGTTTTTTTTTTTTTTTTTTTACAGAGAAAAGGCGTTTTAAACATGAGAATTGTTGTTGATAAAGCAGCGAAAAATCGAAGTTCGGATATAAACCAGTATATTTCAATTTCCCAAATGAAACGTTTTACGTTAGACTCGAACAACGATCGGAAATGGAAAACGTCGTTCTTCGGGAAATATCCAGTCAAGCTGAGAGTCAAACTCCGAGCAATCTGTCAAAGGACAGACAGGCAGGGAGGGTATCGTTTGCATCGTCTTCAAGATAACGCGAACTGTACACACGTCCACGGATCGGAGAGCGTGGGAATTGATTTGTACTGCCGGGAGCCGGTTGCGTATTTGCTAAGATGGCAACCGGCTAGTGGCAGGAATATTCCGCAGCAGCCGTGGGATATTTAAGCAAGTTCGTCTTCGCAAACTCCGTTCGATCCTGCGGAAACGTCTATGCTTGGTGCGCCGCGCTAAGGATGCTCCAAAAGCCAACTCTGACCAATATATTAATCTATATACGAGACTTGTGCACGGTTATGGCGGAAACCCTGGCACGGATTCTCCCCAATATTTCATCCTGGAAAAAACAATGAAGCTTCAAGAAAGCTGTGTAGCTATATAGATGGAATTTTTTTTTAGCGTGTAATATTTTTCCCTCAAGTTTTCTTCCGAGAGAATATTTCACGCGGTATCTTATTGTGGTACAAAAACTAAAAAAAAAGAGAAAATTTTAAAAACTGAAATTCAATTAATTAAATTAATTAAATTTTAATGTTGTTTTAGTAATAATTGTTGTTTATATGTAACAACCAAGATAGAGAATTAAAAAGACAAATCGTTCGTAATTTTCTCGCGAAGAGAAGAGAAACGCGAGATTCCTGCAGAATACAAGGTACAATATTCGATCCGCAGGCGTCGTAAAGCGTGCGATTTTATCGCGCGGGCCAAAGCCTGCTTGCCAGCTCATCTCCACCTCCTTGAGATTTATCATGGCTCTCAGCATCCGAAGGAAGACAATGGGGGCGTCTTTTCTTGCGCACATGCGCGCGTGCGATCGAACGAATCGCTATAAATCCCGAGCTTCTTATCTTTCGACCGGCGACCTTAACGGCGCCGAAATCTATGGACGCTGGAAAGTTAGACGAGCTCCAGTTTCCCAAAGTGTTACGACCGCCGAAAAGAGAAAACTCACCTTATGCCGTATACGTCTTCGTTTGCTATTCGCAGTTTGTTTTACGTACAGGCGTCTTCGCGAGCTCGTTATCGCAATTGAAGATACAATGCGACGCGCATTCGGCGCTATCAGAATCCAGAAGACCTGTCGTAAACGCGGATATTTCACCGAATATAAATATATTGAAGAATAATAAAACTCTGTTTAAAAACGGTGCTTGTTGCTGATCGAATAAAACACGCGATGTTTAAACTGAGATATGTATTTCGATCTCTCGCATTTATCTTTTGATAATTAAATCTTAGTTAATTTTGCGGTGCACCAATAGACGTGTAATCTTTTCAACAATTTTTTTGTGACGGCTTACCTTCTTGTTCCAGCGACTTCAACAACCTTGCACCGACTTCGACTCCACCAGAACGGCGTCAGAGTCCAGTAGGAACTACTCGCGCTTCTCGCCCAACCTTCTTCGGGAAATAGAAGGACCTGCAATACAGCGATAAGTAGTTTTTTTTTAGCATCTTTGTTTTTTCAGAAATGTGCATGTTTGTTAACGCTCAAAAATTAACGACAATAAGATAAGAGATATTTTTTGTTGTAATTATTACGATCGGTTTTACCGATTTTATTTTTTGGATGTATTTCGCTTTGCGCCTCTTTCTTTTCCGTGAGGAGTTTTCTCTCAATTTAAGACAATAAATAGGAGGCGAAGCATGTCGATAGCAAACTTGATAGGGAAGCTGTAGCGCTCTCAGAAATAAAGTAAACGGGATTGAGAAAAGACTTTGTCGAGACTTTTCCGCGGCAGCTTCGACGAATTCGAGGTTGACCGGGAAGATTTGTTGGGGTGAGATTCCCCCCGCGGAAGAAGCGGAAGATGTCGCGCTTCTTTTTCCAACATATCTCCCCGGTAGAAAAAACCTCTCGACCTCCTTCCACTCTCGTCGCATCCCTCTCGGTAGTCTCTAGTTCCTTTCGTCTCCCTCGCGGTTTCTCAAACCTTCTTAGCTATGTGACCAAAATATTGAAACCATGCCGAAGCGTCGTATTTTCTTTTGCGACGAGAAAAGGGAAAACGTGTCTTTTTCTACTTTTTCGTCTTCGTTCTGCGAATTCCTCGCACGAGATACAGGCATCCGTCATCTCGGAGGATTTTCTCTATACCGCGAACGTGGATAAATCGCTTTTTAATCGATACATATATATCTCACGGGAAAACCCGTGTAAGATTGTTGTTCTTCTTTCGCCTCGACAGTTTGACAGAAACGCACCGCGCAGGATATTACAAGATATTTCGTTCTTGGATATAGCGCGATCTAATTGCGCGGCAGAGTTTTTTATATAATTTTAATTGTATCATACATCTCGTGTAAAAAAAGTGTGTTTGTTTAATACGTAACGATAAACCAATTTTTTTTTTATATTTTCATATTCTGTTTCATTTGTATTCACGATAAAAAAAAAAGAACAAAACTATTGAACGCAGTTACATGACGTTCTCATTACTGGTAATTTAATAACAACTTTGTTTTTTATAACAAAAACTGTTTGTAAAATAACAAATATTAGTTCAACAGATTTACAGAGAGATTGTAACTCATAAACTCAACAGATATATTATCCGAAATATAGTTCGCACGAAATTCCGATATTCCGAAACAATATCAGCATATACATGCTGAAGCGCGATATTTTGCTTTATCAACACAAAACATTTTGCTTCTTCATTACCGCTTCAACGTCTGTAAATGTTAAATTTCTTGGCACGATAACCATGCATTTCCATCGAAATTACGATACGTCGCAAATTGCCATTCGTCAGCAAGAACGGCGTCTTCCTTCCCTCCACAGGAAGTGAAAAAGGAAGGGCAGCGAGAGATACGAAAATAGAAACACATGATAGAGTCGCGAAGGGCTGCTTTCGCAGTGATTCGATCTCTATCCTCTCTTTCTCTGTCGAGTTACCGCAAGACAGGACGTTGCCAAAACTTCTTGATTCGCCGTTTCGGCGGAACAGAATCGGTGGGAACAATTTACCTCTTGTGGAAGAGAAAAGGAGGGAAAAGCGCGATTTTATCGGATTCCGCGGAATTGCATTCCAGCCACGTAAACGGAAATATCGAGACGAACCTTCGTCCCTCCAGCCATCGTTTCTGGTTACGAGTCGAGGGTGACGCAACAAATTCGCAATTAATGCCTCTTCCCCGGATTTTTTGCCTGTTTTATTTTCTTCCCGGTTTTTAATAATTGTGTTCGCTGATTCGCTGCGCGATAATTTGTAAGATTATAATTAGATTTTGAATCTGTCAACGCGCGCGTGGACAATGTGTTGTGCACGAACGAGCCAGTGTTTTTCAATTATACAATAGTTTACATATTAAATTAAACTTTTTTTTTTACATTAATACCAAACCAACAATATGCATGTAATTGTTTTTTTCAAATTTATTTAAAATTTAAATGAATAAAATGTATTCGATACATCTCGCATAATAAACTGCATATATAAAATTGAATTTTCAATAAATTAAAATGCGAAATTTTGCCACGGGATACGGGATATCAGCGCAATTCGTTTCCGTGTTTGAAATAAACTATTTGCCTCGCAAAATTGAGACATTACAATAAATACGTAGTTTCATTTCTAGCTCATTAATTGTTTGAGTGTGTAACGATAATGTGTGCGATACACGCGCTTTTATACGTATATACATATATCATGTTATAATGTTTTAAAAATTCAGAGTTTGATATTGACGAACCTTTTGCCCATTTTCAATGTTTTCAACTTTTATTCATTTTTTTATTTATTTTTTTTTTTTGCGCAACTTTGCTGCGTACGTATATAGCGATCCACGCGGTGAAATCGAACACCGTTCTCTTTCAAACGCGGAAAATCTACCCCGCGGCAGTAAAGTATGTATAAAGCTGGAAATACAATTCCGCGCGATGGACCGTCGCCGCGAGCAAGCGCGATTATTCGCTCTCTCGCCGATCAAACTCGCGTGATTACGTTCGCGTTTTGCGGCGCCGGTTTTGCTGTTACCTCTTTCTTTCTCTTTGTCGACACGATATATCGCGCCGACCAATTGGACGTGTGCACCATGGCCGATTTTGCTTTAATAATGTTTCGCGAATCATCGAGTCGAAGCAACGAGAGAAAGAGAGAGAGAAAAGAGTGCTTTGCAGTCCGGTCGATGAAAACGACGTTATTTACTTCATGCTGCACTATTATATGCTAGCGCTCCGCGATGCTATATTATTCATGTGATTCTATTCTATGACCGCCGTAATGCAGTTTTTTTATTCCATTGCATGTTACAACCTGTCGTGCAAAGTACTGCCATTTTACACTCAATTATTGAACTCCTCTTCTATCAGAATATAATTATATTTAGTTATTTTAATTATATAATTCTACTCGTCTCTCCATGTTAAAATTAAAATATGCATATTATTGTTCTTTAAAATTTATGTAACTCGCTCATGAAGATATAAACGGTTTCGTACTTTTCATCTTTATAAAAGAGAAAACTTTATAAAGTAGGTAGTTAAATAATAATTGAAAACTCTGCAAAGCTGCAAAAAGCGCACAGTCAACTTTGGATTACGGGCAAACTTCGAGTTTCGCTCCAAAGTCAGATACATCGCAGTATCGACCGGAAAATGATTGGAGTTAGGTCGGCTTCGACTTTGAAGATGTCTCGAGCCGTCAATTACATGTATTGCTTCTGAAAGCGTCGAGTTGAGTCCAATATCCTTCCTTTCGCCGCGCTGTTTTTAATAAGCAAGGATCGCGCCCGAATCTCGCAATTCCCGAGCTTTCAATTCGCTCGAGAGAGCGCGAGCGGATTGTAAAGAACAAAGTCCCGGCAAAGTAAAATAAAAGTAAACGATCGTAGGGCGAAGTAGGGCAAAAAGAAGCGACCGCGCGGACTGCTAAGGACTGCTAAGGAGTAAGGGCGAAATACAAACAGCCGAAGGGACGTATAGGGCAAAATTTCGGCCGAAGTTTCCGCGCTCCTTTGCCGCCGTCTCTATTTTTCTTTCCGTTTTCCTTTTTTCCTGTCTCGCTTCCGTAATTTTCGCCCGTATGTATTTTGTAAATGCGCGACGTGCGTCTAATTCTAAACTGGCGCGACTACTCAAGACAGAACCCTTTTCTCATGTTAGTGAAATAAAGTGCGAATAACTTTAAACGAAATTTCAGACAAGTGTATTTTGTTTTATACAATAAAACAGAACATATTTCAAACGCGCAAAGTCGCGTCCGGAAAACAACGATGTGTGGTGTTCGTGTATTTTAATAGGTGTCATGTCCCACAGAAACATGTCAAGCACAGTTTCGATTCTCCCTTTCTCCTCCGGTGGAAGAACAATCGAACAAATTGGTTCAATTCTCGCGGCACGGAAACGGTCAGAAAGCGGTCACGGCTTGTGTAATGGCCGCTCTTGCCCTGTCGAACATGCAAATTTGTCGACGCTCAAACACCGAAATGCCCGGAGGTGGACAATTTGTCCATTAACGATTCTAATTGGTTATAGTTTCGTCGCGCGGAACAAACATTTTTTTTCTCTCATTTATCTCGGTCTCTATTGTTGTCGCGTGAAAATTACACGCGTAAAGCACGAACTTATATAACATCGCGGAAATTCGGTATAATTCTGACAGAGATGGAATTGTTCTCTGAAAATAATTGCTCAATTTCAAAACTATCCAACGCTACATTTATCATCCAATCGCGCTCGACAACGTAAATATTAGAACTTCTTTGCGCAAGATCGTCTCAATTTCCCCGATGATGGCCGCGCGCAATTAAAGTTGAGAAAATTAAGTTTTACAAATTTAATTCTCTCAAACCTTTGAGATTCCGGCGAGTCATTGAAAAAGTAGATAGTTAGATCCGCCGTGTTGCATCCGCGTTTGATTAATAATCTCGCAGCCGCGCGAACTCGCGATAGCGAGTTATTATCGTCGCACTTGCCACGAGATAACGACCAACGGAACCGGAACCGCGTCGTCGTTATTATGCGCGCGCGGATCGCAGCGACTCCTGCGTTTATATCGGACTGAATGCCGCTGATTGAATAAGTGGATCTCACGCGCGGCTGTGTGCCGTCGTCGCCGTACAGCTTCCTCTCTCGCTTCCTCTTCGTCTAAGACTCACTCCAACGATAATTTACTCTCTCTCGAACCACCGGGAGCAACGGAACTTCGCATAACGACGCCCTCCTTCCTCTTCACGAGCACTCGCGCGCGCTCTCGTCATCTATTTTCTTGTTCCACTTCCGCGTGTCGCGAGGCACGCTTAATTACACAGCCCGTCGGAAACGATATTAACGCTCGTAAGAATTTTGCACGATCGATTTTCCGCTTGGTTTATGAACTGCCTTTCCGAAGAAAGCCGCAAGAACGTCGGGTATAATATTTGACGTAATCAGGCTATGTTTGAGGTTTCATTATTGAACGAGGCACGTTTCATTTA